ACAAATGCTAATGGCCTCTTACCTTAGCTAATGTTACAAGCCTGGTCTTTTTTCATCTCATACCTTTTAGCTTGAGAACAGCTAGTTTGTCACAGGGTACACTCTTAAAAAGTATGGTTCTTCAGAGGTTCTTTCATAAAGCTGGTGGTTCTGTAAAGAACCAGGAACACTCACTCAGAACCATTTGCATGTTTAGCCTTTTTGAAGATTGCTTTATATAGCATGAAAAATGGTTCCTCTATTGTTACAAGCTTGACATAGTATCAACAGAGGAATCCTTTGGTGCTATATAGAACCATATTTAAAAAGGCTCTACATAGAACCATGTACAACACATTCTCCATCAGTCTGAAGAATTTCACCATGCAAAGAACCATTTAAGCATGAAATGGTTCTATATATAATGACATAGTTGACCAATGACAGTGTCTTCTTTTTGGAATGTAGAATCAGAAAACAAGCCGTTCTTCACAAATGAGACAATTCTGTTAAAATGCACTATACAAAAGCTGAATCAAAGCATTTTCCCCCACTCGTCACAAATGTCTTTCAAAGGCACAAGGAAGTATAATAAACTGAGAAAAGTGTAGAGTAAAATATGTCTCATTTTGATCACAAAACTACAGACAGCAAGCAGTTCTATAATTCATAATAAACTAATTTGGTAAAATGGTCAATATGGTGATGCACGTTTGTTGTAAATGTGGATGTTACTGCATCACACATATATGACATACAGCTCTGTGACTAAGAATAGGCATCATATTTAAAGTATTTTACATTGCAGTAGTTCAGGATCGATGAGTTTTTGCAAGAAAATATTCACTTTTGCGGAAAAGTTTCCTGTTGGAGATGTGAGAAAAGTGGCTATAGCTGAGCTAAAGCTTAAAGCAGAGCAAAGACTTAGTCTGTTTTTTCATTTATATTATATTATTTAGTCTATACTGGTCCATCAGCACATACTGAGACATATTCACAGCCAAGATGGTAAAATGGACATAAAATGTTGTAGTTAGATTTTTGTTGAACATTTAACATTTCGGTTGCTGACCTCTGGTTTAGCCGAATGGTTAAGTAGCTAAATCTCTATGCAGGAGAAAATGGTTCAGGCCCAGTGCAGATAAGCACTTGTTAATTCCTGTCAATCTAGTTACGTCACTCTGACGCTGCATGTGTGACGTGCTTTGGTTGCAGAAAAGTGATTCTGATGTCGCCAGATCAAAAATACTATTTATCATGCAGCCCTACTATATAATTACTTATGCATTTACATTTATGTACTACAGCAAAACAGCAGTAATAACTCTAGACTCCTAAGGGTTAATTAAAGTCAGACTGCTGCCTGCTGGCTGAGCCGATTGCATTAGGCTGATTAGTCCTGCATTATAAATGCTCTCAGATCATAGTGATTTCAGAGTGCTGTGGTCTTTTACACTGACTGCAGTCTGCTGGGTTTATCTGGGTCCAGTGCCGCAGTGTGTTCAGTGTGTTGATGCTTAGTTCTGTTCTGGACTGTAACGCTTTTAGCACATTTCAGACAGCCTGCACACACACACACACACACACACACACACACACACACAAACATACACACCCGAGTGTGTTAGTATGCCTTTTTACCCTAAGGGAATTGATAGCGCAAGCCTTTCGTAAGGCGTTGTTTTGTTTTGGTCTCTCAAAGGGAAGCATGTACCCGTCATATATGCGTTTGAATGCCTATTCCTGAGGGTTTTCAAGAAGAGATTAAACTCTTGGAAAGACTAATATATGTCTTATTAGCATTTTGTAGCCTCTTAGCAGAGCCTCCCAGTATTGCAGATGCTGGCATTTGCAGTTTCATGAGAAACTTCAGAGATTTGTGAAACTTTCTGCACAGTTTAATCGCATAGACGTTAGCCTTGGGGCGCTAAACGGTATTATCGAATATCGCGATTATTTCAACGTGACGATATTAAGTAAATTATTGTTTCATTTTTTTTTTATCATGTACCTTTGCCATGTGACTTTTCCTTTTTTGTTGTTCTTTGTATTTAACGGTTGACTTTGTACAAGCATTCTAATCTATGGTAGGTTAAAATTTTAGACCTAAGCTATAACAGAAAAGACGGCATTTAAGTATAGACCATGCAAACATAACTAATTAACTACAAATATACGTTTTTTAAAACGCCATTTGAAAAGATGAGAATGTAGTGTTTCAGTCTGGCAAAGAATGCTGGGTATATGCAAATGAAACGCTCCGCTACACGTGACCGTCTCCCTGGACGGTGAAAATGGATGAGCTCGTACAGAAGAAGGGTGTTACCGCGCCCGTTTGCCAATATTTTGGTTTCCGACCAGACGAACACGGAGAACCGTTAGATGTTAACAGTGTTACATGGCGTCTATGCAGAAAACGGATCATCATCAAAGGCGGCAATACAGACCTTGAATTCACAGTACGAGCTGCCAAGCCGTAAGTACTTAAGCAAGACAGCGGTGCCTGAGATGTTAATTGAGTATGAAACAATCTAGGTTGTTAAAGACTATAATCATAATAATATTAATAATAATTATTATTATTTCTTCTAACATAACTGTTTTTTCCAGAATTAAGATTCACTGCTATAATTCTCCTTTGCTGTTCCACTGAGATGCAGCAGTTCACTTACATAGGCTGCAATAAAATGATCACGTGACTGAAAAGCCCACTCACTTGGGTTTTCTTTGTAAATTAATTTTTAACACGATAATATCATTTGTCGCGATAATTCTGGAGACGATAATCGCTTGTCTAAATTTACATTATCGCCCAAGCCTAATAGACATCACATCCCCTGATTCCCGTCACCACCACTGTAAAGAAATCAGAGCAGTCTGTGCAATGTTTCTCTACAATGAACCATTTCTGCTTGGTGCACAGGGGCTCAGTCATGCTAGAACAGGATCAGGCATTGTCCAAACTTTTGTCACAAAGTTGGAAGCATATAATTATCAAAAATGTCTTTGTATGCTGTAGATTTAATATTACCCTTCAGTTTAACTAAGGGGCAAAACAGCCCCAGCCCATTATCCCTCCTCCACCAAACTTTACTTGACACTTGACACTGTTCATTCTAGTAGGTAGTGTACTCCTGGCATCTGCATCTGAGAAGACATTCCAGTCTAGCTTTACACCACTTCAGCCAACACTTGGCATTGTGATTTTAGCTTTGTTTTGCCATGGAAACTCATTTCATGAAGCTTTTGATGAACAGTTACTGTGCTGTTGTTGCTTCCAGAGGCAGGTTGGAGGTCAGAGGCAGTGCTCTGTGAGTTTGCTTGTTCTACCACTTCATGGCCGAGCTGTAGTTGCTTCTAGACGCTTTCATTTTACACTAGCACTTACAGTTGTCTGGGGCAGATCTAGCCAGATCTAGAAATTTTACAAACTGACTTGTGGAAAAAATGGCATCTTTTTATGGTGCCATGTTTAAGGTCTCTGGGCTCTTCAGTGGAATCTACTGCCAGTGTTTGTCTAAGGAGATTGCCTGGCTATGTGCTTGATTTTTTACATCTGAACTCAATAATTTTTTCATAGTAACATTTTTGTGGAGTACACATTTCAGCTACACATATTATTAGCCCTTAATGCCTTCTCTGCACTGAGCGGTGGCCTCCCTACCAAATCCTATCGTAGCTCAAGGTTATCAACAGAGCAACAGGTCTGTCTTTTCTCCCCCTCTCTCTCTCTCTTTCTCTGCACCTGGCTCTGTGCACAGCTGCGGTTACACGCAGCAGACGCACAATGGCTTTAGTGTGTGAGCGTATATCATCTCTCACCGTGGCTGCCCCTGGAGCTGCCAAACTGAATAGAGCGGGCGTCTGGTCAGCTTGGTTACAGTAAATGAAGCTCAGTCCAGCACTTCAGCTAGAAAAGCTTGAGATTAGAATGGCCGTGGAGCGACAGCGGGCAGCCCTGCCGAGTGCCGAAAGACAAACGGCTCTTGTGTTTCAGAGAGAATGATTTCTGTGCTGTTATTTATTTTGTGCAAAAGTTTGAACACCCCCGATCAAATGTTTTGTTGATTTTCTAACAGAAAAAATGTGGCATTACTCTGCATATTTTAGTACACATTTTCTGTTTATTTGCATTAATATTTGAGTCTAACATATTGGTATAAAATAGAGCATAAACCATAAATGTAGTGGAGGCCAAATTTTAGGCCACATCTGTTAAATTCAGCAAATAAACAATAGTTGTGCATTAAAATATGCAGAAGTGTGTTTATTTTCAACAGGGTTGAAGGGTTTTTTCAAAACAAGACCACAGTGGTGTGGAAGGGTCTCTGAAACTAAATCCCAGCTATGGATCTGCTGGATGGTGTATTAGCTCTGCAAATGGACAGGGATCTGCTGACACTGCAGATGTAGCGTAGATCAGGCCTGGGATTCCACAGGGTTGTGCGATACAGTTCAGCATATGCCACATTGTTGAAAAGCTTGACATTATTACGTTTAAATATATGTTAAATAGTTGATTTTACCTTATTAACTTTTGATGTTCCTTTTTTTGTAATTCCAAAATTTGATGCCTGCAACACGTTCCAAAAAATTGAGAAAGGGGTAATATAGACCTGGGAATGTTGTGGAATGATCAAAAACACATTTCGGAACTTTCCTTTGGTAGAGAGGTGAATAGATAATAGGTGATGCTGTCATGATTGGGTATAAAGGAGCATTCACAAAAGGCTCGGTTGGCAGTTTACGAACAGTTTAAGAAAGATGTTTCTCCACACACAACTGCAAGAAATGTAGGGATTTCACCATGTACAGTCCGTAATATCTTGTTTTTTGTGCTGGTACAACTGAATACCGGTCACAAAGCATTGCTGTCTGTTTCTATTGACATTTTCTCTACTGTCCCAAATTTGTTTGGATATAATGTGATAAAAAAAAAAAAAACAATTTTAATAGCACATCTCTCTCTCTCTCTCTCTCTCTCTCTCTCTCTCTCTCTCTCTCTCTCTCTCTCTCTGCAGTGTGTCTTGCTGGAATCACAGTGAAAGTGAGTCCCAAGGTGGATGTGATTCTAGGAGAAACTGCTCGACTGCCCTGCAGCTACACCATCTCTGATAATTCCGTCCAGCCAGTGGTCCAGTGGTTCATCGTGAGTGTAATTTTTTTTAACCTTCGACATCCGCAGCATCTGTGCACTGTGTGACGAGTATTTACAAAAGGGCACCCAGAACCTGACTTTTAAATGACGTGATCCGCAAACTGGCTAGTAATAGCACTAGTATCAGGGGTCAAGCTGAGGGAAAGCTAGTGGGGTGTAGTATCTCCTCTTCTACTAGAAACACAAATTTTGCAAAATTGCTTTTGTTGTTGCTGGTCATAACTGCGACTTCTAAGAGTTAAGCTTCATAATCTGAGCCTCTCTCTCTCTCTCTCTCTCTCTCTCTCTCCCTCTCTCTCTCTCTCTCTCTATATATATATATATATATATATATATCTCTTTCTTTTTCTCTCTATGTGTGTGTGTGCAGGACTCTGCAGGCACGAGGAAACGTATAGCTTACAGGTCCCCCACAGAAAGTGGCCTGGAAAAAATCAGTCAGTTTAAAGACCGTGTCATCATGGAACCTGACATGACCCTGGTCATCTCTAAAACCAACGTGGAGGACGAAATGAGCTTCTTCTGCCAGGTCAGAGGAGGCGCCGTTGGTGTCGAAGAGGACGAGACCCAGCTCAGGGTTTTCTGTAAGTCCGGTTCACTGCACGGACCACATACTGACCTTACAAACACAAACTCACACAAATCGCCAAAGCTTGTAAATGATTCTCAACATGAGTTCTTAAATATGAATGCCTTAACAAATGTACTAAACTATCATTCGTCTAATGCTAATTTACATATTTAAGTTATTTATCAAAGAAAAAATCAGAGACCACCGTTCAGTGTGTTTAATTTCCAGTCATCAGGAAAAAAAGTAGAGTTTGTGTGCAACAGAAATTTACCCAGAAGCCTCAACAAATAAGAACTGCACTTGTTTATATTTTTTTTAAGTTTACATTATCAAGTGATTGATGTCTTCTGATTCAGCCTGTAATATTTTCCAAAATATGATACAAAATAAAATAGCGCACAAAACAGTAACACCCAGTGTCTTGCTTGGAAATCAAAACTTAGCAGTTTTAACTTGAAATTTGAAGTGCATTGATACCTCAAATGATTGGAAACTTATTCAAGTTTAAAAACAACTTTGCCACATATTAGCAACAACACTTTATTTTTTTATCCTAAACAGCTAATTAATCAGTTATTTTAAGCTGTTTTTGTGCGGAGGAATGTTTTGTAAGGTGGGTTGTGTTTCAGACCCCTTTCCCAAGGGGATGAATCTGATGAAGAGCGTTCAAAGAGAACCTGATGAAGTGCATGTCTTCCAAGTATCTACCATTGACATTATGTCTTCATCAGGGTAATGCTGATTTTGCATTTGAGACCTAAACATTGAGCCGGATCTTCTTTTTTGGGCCTGACGTTAATACATAAAAACATACGACATTGTCCGAAAAACTCCCACGAAACTGACCCGACTTTTAAATGAATTGGCATGTTTTTGGGCCTCCTGACTCAGTAATGCTACTTTTTTAATCTTAACAAACAATTTTATATAGCGCAATGTTTACTGCTCACATCACGTTACTATTTATGTTATAGGTGAGAGTGTAGTCTGGTCTTTCTAGAATCCCTAGGGGGTATTTTGTAGACTCTCTTCTCCCTTTGCCTAGAGTAAATCTTATATGAGACATATGGACCAAGTCTTTTTAATTCAATTTATTAGCCTAGAGTAATGTTTCTAATGAGTTAGTCAAGAGTCAGTTATGACTGTGAAGATTGCATTTGACACAACTGATTAGTTCAGCAATTCTACCTGTCATGTTTGATGGATGTCATTTTGCCAGCCTTAAGACATCTGCCGAGGGTTCTGCGTGTGTGAGTGTGTGTGTGTGTGTGTGTGTGTGGTAATGACCACTGCAGGACAGCCTGTCCTTGATAGTGACTTTTAGTTTGACCTTTAGACAGAAAAGAATCTAAAGTTATTTACATGCACTTTAAATCTGTACTGCCATTGGGCATTTGCTGAATTCAGCTGACCAATAGCTTCATTTATAGCTTCATTATTTTCAGGTGATTTTCTGTTCTTTTCGAATGAGGAATGGGGAATCGTGTTGAAATTATTTTCCCTGTCCTTTGTGCTAGAGATGATGTGGAGTATTCCTTTAATTTTTCGGACTGCTTTCGGGGGTGCCCAGTGGGAATAAGCTACTAAAAGACTTTTAATATGAGCGCTTGGGGCGTACGTCAGTGTTGTATCCTCAAGCATAACACTTGACCTGAAGTTACTCCAGGGAACACCACGCTGCCTCCAGCCCCACCACACACTAGCTAACCAATCTAAATGAAAATGGACTTTACTGCAAGTGATCAATGTGTCAAAAATGTCAAAGGCCCTGGATAAAGACATATAGAGCATCCAGCTTTATGGTCATTTCATTGTAAGTGATATATTTGCCATGCACTTGTGAGTTCATTCTTGTTATAGGATACCAAATTGTTTAATTTCCAGTCAAAATGACCATTTATGACAAGCTATTAATTTTTTTAGCATTAGAAAGGAAGCAGAAAACCTGTATTTTTACAGAAAATTTCACGCAAGTTTCAACAACTAAATCTAATTTTTTCGGTGTGCCCACTATGGCTCTCTATTGTTTTTGTTACAGCTTCCATTCTTTTTAGGAAACTTACTTTCAATTTTTCAAAGAAATCTGTTGGGATATTTTTCCACACTTCCAATGTTAAGGTCTAGACTGTGAGGTCGTCAGTCCATTGTTCTGAGAACATCAGCAGCTTCTTTGTTTGATTTGCAAATGTTATTCTTTTCATCCTTTCAGACCTATAGCAGTCATTTGTCTCCTCACAGTGGAAGGATGGAGAGAACCACATGTGGAAACATTTGTTTTTTCAGATCTGTAGCAAGAGTGTTTTTATTTGATTTTCCCATTTCCACTTTATAAGGAACACTATACTAAAACTAGTAGAGCTTCCCTTTGTTCTCAGATCAGACCCAGTTCTTCATGGCATGGATTCCACAAGATGTTGGAAACATTCCTTTGAGATTCTGGTCCTTGTTGACATGATTGCATCATGCAATTCCTGCAGACTTTTCAGGTGCACTTTCATGCTGCGAAACTGCCGCTCTACCACATCCCAAAAGACTTTTATTGGATTCAGAGCCAGTGACTGGAAAGGCCACTGAAGAACAATGAACTCTTTGTCATGTTCATTAAACCAGTTTGAGATGACTTTTCATTGCATTATCATGCTAGAAGTAGCCATTAGAAGATGGGTAAATTTTGGTCCTCAGGGTTGCACATGGTCAGCAACAATACTTAAATAGGCTGTGGCATTCGAGCGATGATTGATTGGTATTAAAAGACCCAAAGTTTGCCAAGAAAACACTTCCCACACCATTACACCACCTCCACCAGCCCGGACTGTTGACACAAGGCAGGTTGGGTCCGGGGATTCATGCTCTTGGTGCCGAAATTTTGAGTCTGCCATCTTTGTATCTCAGCAGCATTCAAGGTTCATCAGACCAGGCTACATTTTTCCAGTCCAGTCTCGGTGAGCCTGTGCCCTCTGCAGCCACAGCTTCCTGTTATTAGCTAGGGTTAGGTGTGGAACCTGACATTGTAGTTTGTTCTGCTGTTGTAGCCCATCCACCTCAAGGTTCAATGTATTGTGCATTCTGAGATGCTTTTCTGTTCATCATAATTGTACAGAGTGGTTATCTAAGTTATTGTAGCCTTTCTGTCAGCTCATACCAGTCTGACCATTCTCCGTTGACGCCTTTCATCAATAAGCATTTCTTTATTGTACCATTCTGTTATGCATAAAAATCCCAGGAGATCAGCAGTTATAGAACTCAACCCAGCTCATCTGGCATCCGCAATCATGCCACAAGTCAAAATCACTGGCCCATGTCTGCAAGATTTTATGCACTGCTACACGACTAGCTGATTAGATAATTGTATGAAGGTAAAGGTGTTCCTAATAAAGTGCTCAGTGAATACCTAGGCATTTATATAGTATACATATATATAGAGAGTATATACATGTCTGTGGCTGCACAATATATCATATGTTAATCATTACTGCAGTAGTTGCCTTTCCGTCATTTCAATGCTGATACCAGAGAAGGCTGCAATACATATGCAAATGAGCCATCTAATCAAGGTATTCATGTAATCCAAGTCAAATAATGTAGGCCGAGGGCTCCTGATCATAATCACAATATGTATCAGTACAATCACAGTACCAGTCTTTTGGCTGCATTGTGCAGCCTGTTATACAGTACATGTGGGTGGGTGTGCTTGTGCCCTAATTGCATGGGTTTATTATGTCTATGTGCTCTGGGCAGGGACTACAGCAGAGCAGGCTATCGCTGCAGCTCCTGTCCAGATGGAGCATTGAGAGCCATAATTGTGTAATTTGTATAATGATTGTGAATGAGAGCCGAGAGACTGTCCTCCCCAGAGAAGTCTGCTGGAGCTGGGCTAATGGCTGATGTTGCAACATAAGGAAACAGTAACATTTCGCTGTTGTCGGAAGGAAACCTCGTATCTCCATTTTTGTCCATTTTTCAGTTTTTGACATAATTTGAAAATGCCCTTTACATTGTGTGTAAATTTCATGAAGAAAGGACCAAAATAAACGTCCCCAAAATGGCTTGGAAAAAAGTCTGGTTCCATCAACTTACATTAAAAGTAAAGTAGGTTTTTTCTTTTTCCTGTAAAGTTATCATTTTGGAGATACAAGGTTTTCTTCCTGTAGACTCAGCTCCATATTAGTCTTCTGCATATCATCACTTTGAATGCATCAATTTAAGCTCAGTAGGTTGAATAACAGTAGCGTTAATCAGCTCAATTAACAAGATACCTCTTTTTTCTTCTCTCTTTATCTCTTTTAGTTTCTCCAGAGAAGCCAGTGGTGACTGACAATACCCGTAACATTTTTGCTAGCCAGGATCAGTCTTCTGAGGTATGTTTGTTACATGACAGAGCAGAAGCCGTTTCCAAACTTCAGTAGATCAGATACAGATTCAGTGAACCCTCCAGTAATGCCTACAGGTTTTCAAATCAAAGCTCTTCACCTACCTTGTGTGTCTATGTGTGTCTGTTGTTCAGGTTGGCAAGTGCACCAGCAGGAATGGTCACCCACAGCCTCGTATCATCTGGTTTAAAGACTCCAAGCCTCTACCAGAAGTCACAGATTCTAAAGAAAGTGAGTAGTGCATCTAAAGCACCCTCCCAGTAAGTCTGGGTGATAGTTACACAAACAATTTTCAAGAAAGATCAGTGAATTGGTTCCTCAGTCTGGTATTAGCAGGTCATATTTGAACACTACCTGGCGATGAGCACCTTTTATTTGCTAGACAGAGAGAGAAAGTCTAGCCATTCACTTACAACACCAAGCAGTGGTGCAATGTCTTTAAACTGATTTCTTTGTACAATTTATACATTGTTTTATGTCTCTCTGTCTTAATAATTTGTTTATATATTATACAAGTGTATTAAAATAAGCCTTTTGTTTTCCTCGTGTTTCAAAATGCCATTGATAATTAAAAGTGATCATTAGGAAAAACATTAAATGCATTGAATAAGTATATGTATTGGATGACATGAAAAAAGTATATCATGACAGCCATGGGCAACATTTGAGACTTGTGTCGGGGGGAAGCCATGTCATACGATATATAGTAAGTATAAAACCTATATTTAGCAAATAACCTATATTTATCAAAGTATAAACTACGCCCTACCTTAGTGAAGTGCAAGAGGGCTCTTGACCGCGGCATAATTTAAACTTGTTGACTGCAGTGCGTGCATTTGCATTGCATTGCATTGCATTGCATGAAAACTCATCGCAGACTGCCCCCTAGCGTCGTGGAGTTCAGTCTGTATATAGTAGATAGTTTTGACAAATATCAATATTCTATAATTAAAGTGAGTTGACGAACATTTCAGTGGAGGCAAATGGCTCCCCTTGCCCTCCCAAATGTTGCCCATGATGTCAACAGTCAACCAGACCTACCTCTAAGGTCAGCTGTTAAGCTCGAACCTGCCTTCTTCTTTAAAGCCTGTTTACTAAAAATGTTTGGGGACCCCAAAAGTATTCTAGCAGATTATTGAACATCATATTGAGCAGCATGAAAAGTGTTTATCAGTTGTGGATCTGGCATAAGACAGTCTTTCTCTCTTTTTTCCATCTCCCTCTCAATCTCTCTCAGAGACCTACATGGTGCCCAGAGTGGTGAAAGAGTCATCGGGTCTGTTCACGGTGGCCAGCACTCTCTTTATGCGGCCGACGAAGGAGGATGCCAAGTCGGTTTTCCACTGCACCGTGGAGTATGCAATGCCCAACGGACAAATCAGAAAGGAAAGCTCTGATCATTTCAATCTCACAGTGTACTGTAAGTGTTTCACACTGATGCATGCAAATTTAAGCAAGAAAACAGGCTGTTGTGTTGCATATAACATCGAGAAGACATTTGGTCACAATAGATCATCACAGCTATTATAATGCATGACCTTGAGCGTTCTATTGCTCTTATACAACAGCTGTTTTCAAAAAGGACATAAAAATCATTGCTGTTTTTATTTACATCTTACATTCTGTTTTAGTTTGTGTTTTTCCTAACGTCTCAGCTTTTTGGAAATGGATTTGCAGTTAGTGGTGGTTTTATTAAAATATGATGTTGTACCCCTCAATACCAACCTCCCCCCTCGCTCTTCTCCACCAGATCCAGCAGAGAACGTGGATTTCACACTGGTGAACCAGGGCCCGATCAAAGAAGGAGACAGGGTTCAGATGAAGTGTGAGACGGATGGAAACCCTCAGCCTCAGTTTGAATTCTACAAGGGCGATGTGAGGACGAAATAACCACCAAACGCCAAGGCTCTTTCAGTGATTCCTCACGCTTATTCTTGAGTTGTTGCTCACTCTTTGCCTCTTTCTCTTTTGCATTCGCAGGTCAAACTTGGACACACTGACACGGGTTTATTGGCGCTGGAAAAAGTCACTCGTAGTGATGCTGGCACCTACAGGTGTGAAGCTCTGGACTTTGAAGCCTCTGTTGATCTAACCAGAACTCTCGCCTTCAAAGTGCACCGTGAGTTGAAATGGATTTGAATCAAGTGTCAGTTGTTGTGTATGTTAAAAAAGCAATTTCAGACAATTTCCCTTTTATAATGAATGTAGATACTCAGCTAAGACATTGTGTCTTTTTTAGCTTTGCACTGGGATAAGGTAGATAACAAGTAATGGAAGCTTTTACTGCCTCAGTTAGTTTTTGCAAATGCTTGTGCGCACAAGTGGTCCAAAATCACTTGGAGTAAAATCGTGTTACCTTAATGTGGCAGGCAATATGATGATATGTTATCATTATTATGGTAAATTGAGCTCTCATATTTTTTCTGAGTATATCGTGGGCATAATCAGTTTTTCCAGAACACTGAACAACTACATGTGTCATAAAGAGACAGATGTAGACCAGGTTTACAATTTTGCTAGTGCGTTTTGTTCTTTCCAAATTGTTGAACCTCAGAAAAAAGAAATGTTGTAATATGTATCATCAAATATCCTTCAATAACCTTCTACTGTAATATCACAGTGTTATACATTTCACTTATTTCTAGGGCTGTCAATGTCAATGCATTAATTAACACCATAAATTATTAATGGTGCCAAACAGCAGGCTGAAGCCCAGCTGCAGCTCACTGTATATTGCTATGATAGAATCCACAATTGTTGCACTTTGCTTCACCTTTGACAGATTACACTGGACCATGCTTATAGGAGACCTATGGCAAAATTAACAAGCAGCAAATTAACAAAAGCAACTGCAAAGTTGAAAGTTACAGTTCCCCTTAAGAGGCTCCACTGTGGCTAGAACTGTGTGACCGAGAGCGAGAGCTACAATCATGGAGGAGTTAGAACAATTAATTATATATGAAATATATACTCAGTTGTTGGAACTTGAGACATTGTTGCTCTCACTGGACATCAGTGGTGAAACTGGAAACTGTGTTCACCTTACGGAAATCACATGATTTTCATGTTCAGGTCGTTAACCCTGCGACGGCATTATGAAAATAATGTTTTTAAATTGTTTAAAGTGATAAATCTGTTCCAGTGAAACTGTAACAAATTGGCTCTTAACTCACTCATGTTTAGCAGGATAAATATTCTCCACGAGGGGGAGCTATCAGGATTGAGATGTTAGCAGGTTTTGGTGCTTTATTAGAGTAGTGCTTCAGTGACACTGTGTGATCTTGTCAAATGAAAAAAATCTTTCTTCAAGTTCAAATTTGATCAAATAAGACAAATGTGATTAATCCAACACAAACTCAAAACACTGGCCGGGTTTCCTTACAAAGTTTCCCAAATGATGTGCGCATTTAAAAATTTCCACAGGGAAAAAAGCAATTAATGTCATGTTTTCATCCAGTACAGTTTTGCAAAGAAATTTCAGGCTACCATGACTAGGGGCTGCATCGAAATGAGCAAAATGGAAAGACGGAACTTGTTTTTTACTATAAGTAGAATTATCTAAAGCCATTTGCCATTTTTTTATGGCCTCGTTGTTTGAAGCTCAGAGATGCCGGGTAGGACAAGCAATGGCCCTCCTAATGAGGGCGTAAATCTCAGTGCCATCCTGACAACGTCCACCGCGCACCAGACAAATTTGGGAGCACAGTGTGCAGAGCAGTTTTTCAAATGAGCTTTGGATTAAGCATTTCGGAATGTCGAAAGCAACCTTCAAAAAGCAATTGGACAATTGGTAGTAATCACGGAATCATGTGACTCAGAGCTTGATATGTCATTGTTTATTCAAAAAAACTTTTCCATTACACTTTGTCACATTTTGGCTTTAGTGATATTTTAACTTTCCCACCTCGTCCTGGTGTAAAACTCTTTTTGGAAAATTTTGGATTTTCTCAGGATTCAGGGTTTTTTTTTGCGCATTTTTAAACATCTAAAAAATGTTGGATGGAAAACCCACTAATGTCTAATAATTTTAGTCGTTTGACAGCGTTTTTACCTAAAGTTACCATTTTGGACATAGAAAAGTTTTGGATGACTCCAATGATACGTTAGCAGCATATCGTCGCTGTCGGAACAAAACCATGTATCTCCATTTTGTGATTTTTGATGTCATTTGAAAATACCAGCTGCTCTTTACGTTGTCTCAGCAGTTCATGACAAATGGATAAACAGAAATCGTCTAAAATTAAGTAGAATAAAATCTTGTTTCATTAACATCCACTCAGACCATTTAGATTAGAATATTTTTTTCGTTCTCCTGTAAAGTTGCTTTATTGAAGATGAGGTTTTGTTCCGACAGTGATGATAAACAGTGTACAATACAGTGTTGAGCTGTACTAGTCTGTGTTCAGAATTTCAGTCGAATGCTAACTAGTCTCCATTGCCCTCTCTCTCAGATCTGGACCCAGTTTCTGTTGAACCTGCTGGCCCTTTGACTCTCAAAGGAGGTGATGCCTTGGACCTGCAGTGTCAGACCAAATCTGCTGATCCCTTCACCCTGGTTTGGATGAAGGCAAGTCCCATTTTTTTCCTCTGTCCTCTTTGCTCTTACTTTTCCTCCCCTCATACTTTCTATTTCTGCTTTTTGATGCCTTTCTTTGTGGTGCCGGTTTAGCAGATGGGTTGTGGGAAGTGCTCAGTGGTGTTTGAGTTTTCTCCTGGGAAGACACATTTGAACAGAAGTATAAATGTTTTGTCAGGATAAAAGTGCTGTAGTAGAGATCCTTACAGAAAGGTTACAAAAGTTCAGAATAGTTCGGAGAGATTGTGCACGGCGGTTTACAGTATTCAGTTCCCTTTAGGGCTGCAACTAATAACTATGTTCATAATCGATTATCCCATTATGACTTTGATTAATCTGTAAATTGGAAAACAAAAACCTGCAGATGTGACCATGTGGCAACAATGTTTCTTTCAACAAATTAAAAATACAAGGATTATTCTTCCTTTATTAAAAAAAACATAAAACACTTCTAAGTTCTAATTCATATTTTGTTGAAGGGACTTTTGATCAATAGCGACGTTTACTTGTAGCCTAATGATCTGTTAATAATCCGACTAATAGCTCAATCGGAACAGAATACGTCCATGTCGGGATAGCAATTTCTATCTGATTGAACGAGATGGGTAATCCTGTAAATAATCTCTTAAATAGAAGAATAATAGCTGTGTAAAGCTTGTATCTGATTACATTCCCTATCGTAGAGTTCAAGTCAGTTCTGCGCATGGCCATCGCATCATAGTAAAAGTTGATAACGTTTAAAATGGCGGGAGCAGAAACTGGTCTGCAGAGGAGACGAAGTTTATGCTCTGACGGTGGTCGGACGGATGTCCATCTTATGTGTCTCAGAACACAACGTCTTCCACTCTGCCTTCTTTAATAAGTACATGTGAAGTACGTTTTCCTGAGTCTGACATCATTTTAAAGTAATTAAAAACACAAGCACTGCTCACTGCTGCTCATCTCACTCTGACTGGACTCACTAACGTCTACACTAAGTGGTACTTAGGATCAGATTACTTGTAGTGTGCATGTAAAGGGAGATTTTACATTAGATTGTTGAGTAGAGTGAGCATCAGTCTGAATCTATAATCAGAATGCATTCAATCAGATTGGCAAAAATCTTTGCATGCAAACACAGCCAGTGTCACAGCAACAGATTTTCTGCATTGCTCCTGAAAACTGTATTTGGCAAGAGCTGAAACAAAAAAACAACACAAACTGATCATCCATGGCCTCCAAGACATGCTGGCTTTGTGTATTTCTCCTCTAATGATAAAGGAAAAATAAATTAAATAGCTTATGGGTGAAAATTATTATGGTGTGTAAACTAACAGCCCAGGCACATGAAGCAATTAAAAGACAATAACAAGTTCATGCAACACATTCAGTAACACCACTGATTAGCCACATTATCAGCTTTTGTTGATGCAATGTATCGTCATGTGTTTAGTGGCATTTACTATCCACAAAGTTGGGCTTTAGACTGAAAAAGTGACAACGGCTGTTTTATTAGAATGATCGAGGATGATTAAATAGAATTTTCACATTGCATTATCAAAGTTTGTATCCACCTTCATTTTCATGTGACCACGGCATTTCAAGAAAATGGCAGATATACAGTTGGAGAATGGAAATGTTGTTCATTACTGTTTTTAAATTGAGAAATATATGCTTACTTGTTGAGTTATTGTATGTCCAATTAAGGCCCAATCCCATTTCTTATTTTTAGCCCTACCCCTTGCCTCTTGGAACTGAGTTACAGGGGTAGTGGTTGAAATCTTCCCCTACGAAATGGGACCCTCAAATAAAAAAGAACATTACTTAATTAACAGGCTACTAGCGGTGCTCTGTAGGTGACTGCCAGTCTGCAGGGACAGCAGAGGAGGGTAAAGTTCAGGAACCTCGCTTGCTGCTAAATTTAGGGCATCATATGCCGTCAAAGAGGGGGATATGACAATTATTTATTATCAACCACCCCTAATTCTTCAGTGATATGAAGCTGAAGTCAGCTATTCGCCAGCTTCCCGTTTGAATTTTCCTGTTTGCACCTTAAATAGTGCAGCAGTTCTGATGCCTGAGGTGCCAGAATGTAACAGCTTCACTATTTAAGGTGGAATGGGAAATTTAGGTGGCTAGCTAACAAGACATGAGCATACTTCTAACAATTTTTTTATGCTTATTATGAAGATAATACATTGAAATGGCATAAAGTTCAGATAATACAGTGGTTATTGTTATTTTTTAACAGAGAAAATACTCACATTTGTGGGTTTCTTTTGTCGCTCGCCCAGCTGTCTTGCTGGTTTTTCTTTTTTTCTTATAACACTCTGTTCGGAGTATGTCTCTGAAAAACCTCCATTGGAGTGCCATGTAGCCCCAACACTTCACCCTTCACCTCTATTCCAACAAAAATCGGGACACCCTACGTCTAGACGTGAACTTGCAAAACGGGCCTACAATAAAGATTATTTACATTTGAATAAATATCCCACATTTCTATCATGTTATGATGCTATCAGCATTTGGCATATCAGTCTGTTTACACTTTGCAGCAAGTTCTGTCCATAAGCCACTCCATCGTGCAGCGTAAGAATAAGGTGGATGCTGGGTGTTTGTGCCGTCAGATACAGTCAGAGTGAACCTTCCGTTAACTCCTACTACAGGTTTTTCAAGTGAAAGCACTTCGCCTAACCTGTGTGTGTGTGTCTTGCAGGGTGGTAAGGAGCTGTCTCAGACAGGTGGACTCTCTCTGCAGTCCGTCACTCTGGCAGATGCTGGTGAATACGTGTGTGTCGCATCTGTCCCTACAGTGCCAGGCCTGGAGAAACAAGCTAACATCACCGTCAGAGTCGAAGGTACAACACACATCTACGTTCACTCAGAAAGATACTCTTAACACTATTGATCAAAGGTTTGGAATTATTTGTTACATCAACAGTTAATATTATAATCCTCCCATCAAATACCTTACATTTTCTTTCTTCTTTGTTTCTTTTTTGATAGTTTTGAACATTTCAAGCACTTTTGCCTCTTTCAGCTTCCTTTTTTACTGGTGGGAGTCTTCTCAGAACTTATTGCTGCTGCATAACCGTGAAAATGGGTGTAGCACAGGCATGGAAATGGGGGTACTGTACCCATGGAAAAGGGGTAGTATAACTATGGAAACAGGTGTAGCAATACCATGAAAATGGGGATAACGTTACCATAAGAATGAGTGCACAGTAACAGTGGAAACGGGTGTAGTGTAACCATGAAAATGGAAATGAGTGCATCTAACTATGCTAAAAGAGTGTAGCTTAGCTGTGGAAAACTGTGGACTTACAGTGGAAGTACACTTTGATGATGGAAATGTGCATAGCATTAATATGGAAATGAGTGGACTGAAAACATGAAAATAGGCATAGAAATGCATGCCTGTGAACATGGAAACAGGTGTAGCGTAACCATGAAAATGGATATAGCATAACTGTAGAAATGAGTGCTCTTTGACCATGGAAATGGGTGTAGGGCAACCCTAGAAATTAGTGCACTTAGACCATTAAAACTGCAATACAATGAAAATGAGTGCAGCGTAAATGTGGAAAAATGTGGCAGCAAGAGTCATTCTGCCCTAAGTAGTGAGTTCCCTTGCTACCCCCATTTAAAAGTCAAACAAAAACTGGATTTTGAAAAGTGGTGGGGACATGCCCCCAGCCCCACGTCCCAAGTGGAATCTATGGCCTCTTCTCCACTGCAGGGCTAAACGGTTCTGAGCACGGAGCACGGTTGTTCCAGTGGCATTTCCGCACAGACACGGTTCGACACAGTTAGAACCAATTTCTAAATCTTAAGCAGCGCTGCCTAAGCAGCTAAAAAAAGCGACTGGTTAGCATTAGCTTAGCCAGCACTGCTCACCACAGAACAGGTTTGATTTTGACTGACAAAAGCTTTACTAACCCAAATTTAGCTGATAATGACTCTTATCGGAAGAAGCGAAGTCGAGTGGCTGATGTTAGAGGAACAGAAAGCCAAAATTAACCTCTTCTCTGGTGTCTGAAGCTTAGCCTCCTAGCTAAGCTAATGCTAACCGGCTCTTCTCTCCGAGCTAACTTAGCTTAGCTAAAGAGATCCAAACACCACTGTGCAGGTTTGATTCGACTAACTGCTCTGCTATCACAGGCATAAATGATAAAACTTACTACGGACCTGTTTTGTGCTTTAAGCTGCAGCCTGCTAGGCTAAGCTAATGCGAGTGCACGGTGCCTCCCACTGCAGTACCGGCTCGGTTCTAGCGAACCTATAATTAAAAATACCCCTTTAGAGGATAAAGACTCGTATCTGAGAGCGCAAACTCAAATGACGGTGTTGAAGTGACAGAAAGATAAAAAAAATTGAAATATTTCGTGGTGTTTTGTGTTGTACCCTGCCGGGCAACGCTAAAGCTAATGTAGTTAGCTAGTTAGTTATGCGGCTACAGGTGAAACCCACAACAGTACAGGCTGTTTCAGTAACTCATGCTCAAATAACACCCGTTTAGAGGATAAACAAGATGAGAGCACGCTGAGAGACTGGAGCTGGAGTGACAGACGGAATCAAACGTGTTTGTGGTGGGTGGCGTGTATGTTACTGTTAGCCTGTTAGCAGTTAACCATTCGGTTGGGTAGTTTTCTTGGGTATTTCCTGGTTTTGATTTAGCGGTACAACAGATGGAAACAGAAACCGTAACCTGTCTCACGAGTCCAGACCAGCGCGGAACAGCCCAGTATGGCTCTGAGAACCATTAGGCTCGATAGTGGAAAAGCGGCCTATGTTTGTGAGAAGCATTAGGCTATAGTCAGAGTGCAGGATGTGGCTACTTATGCTACTGAGTAAATCATGAAAACGTTCCTGAATTGCATTAAAGTCCCTGTTGCTGGTGGAGACAATGGCCGGGTTGGGCCTGCATTAGCCATGACATGCCCTTAGCGCCTGCTCTCAACCTCCACTTCCTCAGATCTGATAACACTGCAGCAGGAAGCTGGAAATGCTTCAAGGAACTGATGTTTACAGGGTGTGATGTGTTGATGAATAAGAAAGCACTTGTTTGAGAGTTTCTTAGGCAGGATTATGGCATATATCTGGCAACCCAGGCCAAGGTTTGAAGATGGCAATGTTAAGTAGTACAGGAGAGCAGAGGAAACAGTGTCTTAAATCACAGTTGGTTCATTCTCAGCACTGCAGTGACACTGACGTAGTGGTGGAGTGTTAGTGTGTGTTGCGCTAGTGCGAGTGGATCAGACACAGCAGTGATGCGGATGTTTTAAACACCTCAGTGTCACTGCTGGACTGAGAATAGTCTACCAACCAAAGATATCCAGCCAACAGCGCCCTGTGACCACTGATGAAGGACTAGAGGATGACCAACATAACCTGTGCAGCAATAGATGAGCTACTGTCTCTGATTTTACATCTACAAGGTGGACCAACAAGGTAGAAGTGTCTAATAGAGTGGATAGTAGTGGACACAATGTTTAAAAACTCCAGCAGCACTGCTGTGTCTGATCCACTCGTACCAGCGCAACAAACACTAAAACACCACCACCAGAAGTGTCACTGCAGTGCTGAGAATGATCCACCACCCAAATAATACCTGCTCTGTGCTGGTCCTGTCCGTAACATTTTTTAAGGCAAACTCTAATCCAGTCTTCCTGGATCTGGCCAGCTTTTGTGAAGGAGTTGTCCTTCAAAAGCCCAAGAATACTTCTGTCATCCACCACTGCTGTTTTCCATGATCTTCCAGGCCTTTTCGAGTTTCTGTGCTGTGTTTCTGTGTTTCGTATGTAACAAGCTGGCAGAGTGCCTCTGATTTGCACCTGAACGTTCCACAAAAGGCTCAGTACATCATACCCTTAGTGTTAACTTTGTATTTGTCATTATATTCTTATTTATTATACACTTTAATTAATCTGTTAAATCTTACACTTCATCCAGTGAAAGTCTATACTAAAAAACGAATACTGATACTGAATTATCTCTCTCTCTCGCCATTTCTCTCTCTCCCACAGGCAAGCCTGAGATTGATGTGCCTGTTAAAGTTGAGGTGAATAAAAGGGGAGATGAAGTCACTCTGAGGTGCTCTGCTCTAGGCTATCCTGCTCCACAGTTCACCTGGAAACCCTCTGGCAAAGAGGTGTGTGTGTGTGTGTGTGTGCAATTGTGTGCAAACGTTTGTCCCCCTAGACACATACATGGTTTGTTGATTTTTCTAAGTGATGTGTGTTTAAACAGTTGTGTGCAAAAGTTTGGGTGCCCCAGTCAAATGATGTTTTGTTGTTTTTCTAAGTGAAAATAAGTCAATACATCCTCTACAGAGAACATACTTCTTAATTACTGCACATCTTAATTACTGTTTATTTGCTGAACTTAACATATTTGGAGGTGGGGATGCATAAAATGTGGCCTATGCAAAGGTTTGGGCACATTTTATATTTTGTTATTTTTTTCTAATATGTTACAAAGTTGCTATTTCTAGACAATTTCATTTCACAATAATAGTACTTACAGTTGTCTAGGGCAGATCTAGCAGGGCAGAAATTTCACAAACTGACTTGTGGCAAAGGTGGCGTCCAATGACAGTGCTACGCTTTAAGTCACTGAGCTCTTTAGCACAACTCATTCTACTGCAAATGTTTGTCTATGGAGACTGCATGGCTATGTGCTTGATTTTGTACACCTGTTAGCAATGAGTGTGGCCGAAATACCTCATCTCAATAATTAGGAGGAACGTTCACATACTAGAGGCCATAGAGTGTATTTCTTACCTGCAATGTCTCCACAGACTGTACATGATGATTGTGTGTGTCTGTGTCTTCACAGTCAGTGACAGTAGAAGGACAAAAGACCATCAGCACAATCACCCTGAAGGCCACAGAGGCAGTCATTAACGACGGCGTCACTTGTGAAGCGACCAATAAATTTGGCACAGACACCAAGAAGTTTGAGGTGGCTGAATCAGGTTGGTTTTTCATGATTATTACAATTATGCTGCTATGTCACCCACCACACAGCACCAGTCAAATGTTCTGACGTGATTGAATGTATGCATTTTCCATTTTCTACACTTTCTACAGTTATTTTTACTTATAAAGTGCTGCAACTATTGAATATTGTCATTTTAAATTATTATCTTGAATTTTCAAATATGTAACATACACCGATCAGGCATACCATTATGACCACCTCCTTGTTTCTATGCTCATTGTCCATTTTATCAGCTCCACTTACTATATAGGTGCACTTTGTAGTTCTACAGTTACAGACTGTAGTCCATCTGTTTCTCTGCATACTTTGTTAGCCCCCTTTTACCCTGTTCTTCAATGGTCAGGATCCCCAATGGACCCTCACAGAGCAGGTACTATTTGGGTGGTGGATCATTCTCAGCACTGCAGTAACACTGGCGTGGTGGTGGTGTGTTAGTGTGTGTTGTGCTTGTACGAGTGGATCAGACACAGCAGTGCTGCTGGAGTTTTTAAACACTGTGTCCACTCATTGTCCACTCTATTAGACGCACCTACGTTGTTGGTCCACCCTGTAGATGTAAAGCCAGAGACGATAGCTCATCTCTTGCTGTACAGTATGAGCTAATCATCCTCTAGTCCTTCATTGGTGGTCACAGGATGCTGTTGACTGGACATTTTTGGTTAATGGACTGTTCTCAGTCCAGCAGTGAGGTGTTTAAAAACTCCAGCAGCACTGCTGTGTCTGATCCAGGAAACAAGGAGGAGGTCGTAATGTTATGCCAGATCGGTGTGTGTGCCTCACTTTAATGATTAAATGAAACATTAATATTATTATTCTTGTTGTTATTATTATGATTTTATTCATATTCATTATTGTTTAATGAAACCTGAAATGCTAAAAGGTAATGGAAAAACAACACTAATAAAAAATTTCTGTCATAGTAAGTAGCATTAAAAATTCTATTCTGAGGAGTCATACCCAATCTGGCAACCCAGGCCAAGGTTGCTGAGACTGCTGTCAGTGTTAAGCAGTACAGGAGAGCAAAGGAAACAGTGTCTTTAATCACAGTTGCCCTTATTCATCTAAGTCTGACCACCTTTAATGATATGCAAACTACTCTGCATCATGACATTTGCGTACAATGTGGAAAGAACAAGTTTGATTCTGACAAACGGAAGCTACACTGACACAAGTTTAGATGATAATGACTCAAAACTGGAGAAGCGAAGTTGAGCGGCTGTGACAGAAAGCCGAAATTAAACCTGCTCTGTGATGTTTAAATCTGTAGCCTCATAGCTAGGCTAATATAACTAGCTGCTCTAGCCTAGTTAGCTTATCTAGTGTCCTACAGAACAAAACACCACAATACCGGTCCGATTCCGTCTGCTCTGCTGTTAGACAAAGCGTGGACGATAAAAAATGCCTGAGAAAGCTAAGTCGCAAAGTGTTGGAGTGACAGAAAGCAAAACTGAACCTGTTGTTTACTGTTTTGAGCTGTAGCCTGCTGGGCTAGGCTACCGCTAGCGTAATGTTAGTTAGCTTAGCAGGCTAAAGGTTCCACCCACCATAGTACAGGTTCATTTCCAGCTAACTGACACACAAATAACACCTATTTAGAGGATAAAGACTCTGAGAGTGCAGAATTGACTGGCTGGTGTTGGAGTGACGGCCAGGATTGAAAGATTTCTGTAGCATTTAGCCTGTTAGCTACTACTGTGTAGTCTTTCTTCAGTATATCCTGGCTCTGATTTTGCAGCACTGCAGTTGGTAAACAGCAAATGGTCTCACGACTCCACACAGGTTTCCCCTCAGAACCATTTGACTCTACCTTTGTTCCCAGAAGTGCGTAAAAATAGGTTTTATATAATTTTTTACGACAATAGAGTGGACATGTCCAAACTTTTTGACTGGTACTGTGTGTTATTTTCACGTAAGCACAATACATGAACCGTAATTGTAATCTTACTGTATATATTTTTTTTCTTTCTTTCCACAGTTAACACTGTTGATGGAGACAACAATAGAGGACAAGGTAGACACTTGTCGCTGCTCTCCCTGCTCTCTCTCCTCCTCTCCTCCCTTTCTGGACTCTGTCTTGTACATACTCTGTAGCCTCGCTCTCCCAGCTCTGTACATTGTATATTGTGTATCGCTACCAGAACCACTGTGTATATTGTATATTGTATGATGCTTTCCCATCTTTGTATGACGTCTGCCCTGAACTTTTTGTGCGATTCCTGCACCTCTGACTATTTTCCTCCTTGGAGACAATAAAAGATTCGGTTCTATTTTCCTCTCTGCTCCTTCCTTCTTGTCTTTCCCTCAGAGTGTCCATTCGTTAACTTTCTTTCCTTCCTCACCTCTGTATGCGTCACTGTAGTGTGTGTCTTGTCATGGTGGTGGGCTTGTCACTAGCATTGTGAGTATTTTTCACTGTCGCCTGGGCGTGTTTTTTGTTGTCTATGCTAAAATGGTTCATGCCACGGGACTCAACTTTCTTTCCTTCCTACAATGCTGCTCATAGGAAGCCCTGTGTTTGCAAAAGGTCTGTACGCTTGCTGGTGCTCATCTGTATGTGTGTTTATTAGGGTTGGGGGGAATTCTGATGCAAAGAAATGATTGCGGTACAAAACAATATCTAAAATGGTACGATACCTTTATTTTGCAAATGATGAAAATGCGCTGGTTTACTTTATATTAACCAGTGATGTCATAATTTTGTAGTCAGTGCCAGTATAAGGAACTGAGCCTTATTTCTCAATGGGAGAATCTTTTTCAGAAATCACTGCTGTGATGCTTTTGCAGAGAACAAAAATTTTCAAAAGCCAATATATGTTGTCCTACATGTATTTTCCCCTGAATGGCACTTGATCCTCTGTTTTATGAGGTTGTTAAGTAGGTGAAATACAAATATTGCTACATGCAAGCTAACAGCGTTAGGCCTGGGTGATATTTAAAACTAATTAGCACTATTCTAGTATTTAATAATGGTTTTCATGAAAATCCTTCTTACAAATTGCACATTAAATAATATAATGCTGAGTAACCCAGCGTCTTTTGAAAACTACCTCACCTGTTGTTTTAATATGTGTTACTGAAAACATGTGAGTTTATGAGCTCCTTCTGGTGTTGGTTCATGGTGACTTACATTCTTATATTGCATGTGACTTCCAAAGCCAGGTCCAGACACTAATATTCCACTGTAGATGCCTTAGGTGCCTTAGTAGAAAGATGCCTTAGTAGAAAACTAGGAAAGACTAATATACCTTTTAACAGCTTATATATATATATATATATATATATATATATATATATATATATATATATATATATATATATAAGCTGTTAAAAGGTATATTAGTCTTTCCTAGTTTTCTACTTTTCGCCTTTTAAGCATCGTCATCGGGTTACACTGCCCTATCGCCCAGGCCTACTGTGCATTGACCTAACATCGTAAGACTGTTACCTTCCCCAAAATACCCCACACAAACCAGCAAGCTTTGCTAAAAGAGGTAGTAAAGTTGCTTTGGCAGTAGTAGCTGCAGTTTGAGTAGCTGGTGTTGCTGTGGAAAAGACTTTAAGTGCAGTATTAAATATAATTTCATGCAAAAACAGTTCAGGAGCATTAGCTTGCTGGTTGCATGTATGTAGCATTATTGGTATTTCAGCTACTTAACAACCTCAGTCTCCTGAGAATCCAGTAAGAATCAGAGGAAAAAGTGTACATAAGACAAAACATATTGACTTTGAAACATTGTTTACCGCATGGATTTCCAGAAAAGCTGTTTATATTAACGCAGACACGATAGCTATTGGTAGCTTAATGTTACTAACTCTATAGCATATGTACTTAATTTGCGATTTACTGAGAAACAAATCAGTGCTTTGAATACACAGTTAGGGTTGCTATGGTTGCTAGCTAACGTATATATATGAAGAGAGACCATTCTTCATTTATTTATTTTCCACTCAAAATGGCCATTAAGAACAAGTTCTAAATTTTCAGTGTCAGGAAAAAAAAGCAGAATATATATATATATATATATATATATATATATATATATATATATATATATTTATTTATTCATAGTATTTATTCTATCCACTCTTCGCCTTTATTACAGCTTCCATTCTTTGGAGGAGACTTGCTCTCAGTTTTTCAAAGAAATCTGCAGAAATGTTTTTCCACTACTCCAAAGTTTAGTCTTAGAAGTTGGTTGCATTTTCAATTTCTCAAGATCCAAGCAGTCAAACACATTCAGTGGTGATGGACCACTGGTCAGTCCATTGTTTTGAGAACATCACCTGCTTGTTTCTTTGCTAAAATGAATAACTTTTATTTGATAGCTGTTCTGAGTGGCAATTAAAAAATGAAAGGTGGTTCACAGTACTATAAATATTGCTATAATAATTTGCAATCTTGCACAAAGAGTCAAGGGGCCTGTGAGAATGGCCAACAGACTGAAAATCTAAACATGTATTTCTTAGCCTTATTGGTTTGATTAACAGTTATATTATTTATATTATTTTTATATTATGCTAATTAAATTGTTGGGTTGGCACTAGGGCTGTGACAATAACCGTCATCACTGTGTGCATATGGTGTGTGCTTTGAAATATAAGCACACTAATCATTATTTAGTTATCGCCATTGACTGTCTTCCATCCTATGTTCAAGGGATTCTGGAGAAACATAATTTTTCGGTTGCCGGTCACTTCAACTTCACACACGAGGGAGAGGGACAGTCCATTAAACATATGGTGGATTTCGTTTGTGTGTTTCTGATTAATATTAATTATTACTAGGCTGTACAGATAAAGTTCAACTGAATGTATACACACATGATACACAGACATAAAAAGACAAAACGCTGTTGTTGGAAGAAAACCTTGTATCTCCATTTTGATGTTTTTCAGTTTTTGACATAATTTAAAAAAACCTGTTGCCCTTTATATTGTGTGTAAATTTCATGATGAATGGGCTAAAAGAAATTACTTGGAATTACTTGGAAAAAAGTCTGGTTCCATTGACTCACATTATATTACAGTATGTTTTTCCTTCTCCTGTAAAGTTCTCGTTTTGGAGCTACGAGTTTTTCTTCCGACAACAGCGAAAAGCATAACATAAACAGTTGGAGTTAGATTTTAACTGCAACTGCTTATAGCAAACACACTTCTCTTATGTGCTAACGCCCATACAGAAGATGCAAGCCGGTTGACATTATTGGATTCAATAATGGCCACAAATGTAGTTCCTAAGCTTAGTGTCATATCGCCAATCTGGGCATGTTTTGGCTTTGAGTCAGAAGGTGCAGCCGGTGAATATGGACGAGGCAATATGGCGCATTTGTAGTTAAAAAGCTTCCGGAAACGGTATGGGGTTGTGGGCGTTGGCAGCAGGAGGGGGCGAGGGGGCATTGGTGGTAAACCACCAAACCTTGGGGATACGTTGCTTTTTTTTTTTCCGCAGTAAGAAAACTTCCACACAGTCACAGCCCTAGTTGGTACCCATACCGAGGTACCAAAGCTGGTATCTGTACCGAAGGCAAAATTTGGGTATCGATCCAATACTAGTTTATATGTCGTATGCAAAAGTTTGAACACCTCGGTCAAATTACATGCTTTGTTGCTTTCCTAAGTGAAAATAATTGAACACATTTGACATTCGAGCAAATTTTAACAGATCATAAGATCAAAAAAATCATATAAAATGTGCCATTAGTTTCGCTAATATATGGTAAAATCAGTGAATAAACAGTAAATGTGCATTAAAATATACAGAAGTGTGTTGATTGTAGAGAATGTGTTCACTTATTTATACATAGAAAATCAACAGAGCATGTAATTTGAGCAGGGACGCCCAAACTTTTGCATACAACTGTATATGTGTGTGTGTTTGAGAGAGATAGCTCGTGGGAAATTGTATGCATTGTTGTGTGTGTTTTGTATTTGTCAGCTGGGGGTCATTCCCTCTAATTTTGCTTCCCTGATGACCTGATATTAAAAAAAACCTTATTGTTCTCTTCTTTCCTCCCCACCCTTTCTACCACACCCATCTCCTGTCCCTGCCTTCTACTGCTGAACTTTTCATCTCTTTCTCATCTCGGTCCCCACCATTTATTTCACCTATCACCCTCCAACACCCTCTTCTTTCATCTCTCGAAACTCCTTCACTTTGACTCTTTCATCTCATGTCTTCTTCTTCAACCTTCTCCATTCTGTCCTCTCTCATCCTTCCTCTCTCTTTCTCTACTAGTAGCTGAACTTCAGCATGCCGGCTCCAGCGTAGTAGTGATCGCCGTGGTGGTGTCCGTGCTTCTGCTGCTGTTCATTGTGGCCTTCCTGTACTTCCTCAGTAAGAAGGGCAACATGCCTTGTGGCAAAAAGGACAAGTGAGTACCTGATAGGAGAGGAGTGGACAGTGACGTTTATCTAAGATACGGGACAGATGTCTTGTGTCTTAGATAAAGTGTAGAGGGAGAGTGTTTTGTCTATGTGGCCCACCTGCCCTCATTGGCCATTTAATCTGGTACATCTACCTATACGGATCATTCTAAAAATCCTTTTACTCTGACTCTGTACGTTCATTATGTTTAATTTGTTAAAACAAATGAACAATCCAGTTTGTCACTACCAAAACAATCATAACTCTACCAAAACTTTACCAAATGTTTCGGTAGTGACCATCTCAGTACTGACAATTTTAGCTCATTTTGAGCAAAACTTGAGCTTTGAACAGTTGAACACTCATAAAATCATAATATTTTTCCTTGAAAACCCTAAAATGTTTATTGATTGCAGAAAGTATTTTGAAGTTTTGGTAGTGACAACTTTTAATGTTACAAACTGGTATTTGAATTTTGGGACACATTTTCTTCAAAACAATGGGATCTAACTGCTCACCATGTGGTCAAGAGGGACAGGGATGCAGTCTCACTTCCTGCTCTGAAATGCAGGGGGGTGGCTAAAATTAGGCTCCGCCCATGAACTAAAACTCTTCGTTGTAGAAGTGACAAAAACATGGGAGAGCAGTTTCTGATGAATGTTTTTTTTATTTAAAAAATGAAACTCATGATAAATGTGAATCTATCAACTTTAAATGAAAAGAAATAACAAAAAAAACAAGAATAAGTGTTATTGTCACAAGTTGAAATATGTGTATATATGTATGTATAATCTCATTTAATGCCTTGGGTTTAAGTAGATTGTAACTTAATACTTGTGAATATCTAAGGTTTGAATACTGTTGCTGCACAGCCACACTCTACCCTGTCCATTAGTGGAAATGGACCACCATATGACCAGACGTTATTTTGGTAGTGGTCCATTCTAATCACAGCAGTGACAACATGAATTATACAAAGTCCCATTCAAGCCTTATTTTACCTGAGGGAGTACTGTATTTTAAGCAATTAACAACAAAATCCATGTCTTTAATCCAGTATGATTACAGAGTGTTCTGTAATAATTGTCGAGTGATTGTAATCCAGTATGAATTTGAATGTGTGTCGTTTCTAGGTTCTTAACAGCAATAATCGTGGAGTGATTTTAATCTAGTATGAATTAACATCTATGTGTAGTTTTTACAGTCTGACAGTAATAACTTTGGACCGATTTTAAGCCAGTATGAATCTGCAGAGTGTTCAGTTTTATAGTCCGACAGTAATAATTGTGGAGCAATTTATTCCAGTATGAATCTACAGAGTGTGTATATTTCACAGTCTGACAGTAATAATTGTGGAGCAATTTATTCCAGTATGAATCTGCAGTGTGTGTAGTTTTTTCAGACTGAAAATAGGGTGAATGGACTTCAGTAACTGGGTGAACTCTAGAAGTCCCATTACAACCCACCTCAGGCTAATATGATAACAAAACCTGCTAATAGACACCAACGTGTGGTGTGTTGTTGTTGTTATTGACTGTATCCTGTGGATTACCACAGACATAAACACCTAGACTTTGTGCTGTACCATTCAGTCAGATTACTGTACACAACCTTCTCTAGTAAAACTAACCCAGCTCCAGTAGTGCTTTCACAGGACACTGCATCTCCAGTTTCCGTATTCACCCCTCTTTATGTATTTACAGTGCACCTGGGAATGGGCAGGGAGAAGTCGTCAAAAAGGAAAACCTACTCGATAAGGAGGTGAGTGCTTTGAGTTTTCTCAGCTGTGAACATTGTTTTCACGGGGATGTCCTGATTCGAAAAAGCTGATATAGTCGTAGTTTAATAGACTGGTATTGGCTATATTAGGTCTGATCTACGTCCAGTTCTTACGGCTATTTTACCCCATTGAGTAGTTAGAAGTTAACAACCATTCTATAGGCTAGATTCACAGAAATAGGTACTAATTACTGACAGACTAGCCATACTTTGTGCCGGTGGGGGCTGCTAATGTAGTCACTTATCCACTAAGATCTTCCATGCAAAGGAACAAAGTGCAGCTTTGTAATCGACATATGGAATATGCTATGGAAGATCGTTTCCGCCAGGTAGGACAAAAGGGCTGCATTCCAAACCACATACTCCAGCACTAAATAGTGTGTAAAAATAGTGCTCCATCATTAGAAGTGCATTTATTAGTGTAGTATGTAAAATATGGAAGTGTGTGGTTTGAGACGCAGCCAAAACATTTTTAAGCATTTAATTCTGGTTCAAATGTGAACTCATTAGACTGAATTGACTATTATGATATGATATGACTAGTATAAGTCTAGTATCCTGCCTTCTGCCCAATGACAGCTGGGATAGGCTCCAGCACCCCACCGCGACCCAGAAGGATAAGTGGTTTAGATGATGGATGGATGGATGGATATGATATGACTATTACTTCTTGAGAAAGTGATTATTTTAACATGATAAGATAATCCTTTATTAGTCTCACCACAGGGGAAATTCAGAGTGCTGTAGCAGCAAAGGGATAGCAAGGCACTCAAGAAAAGAGTAACAAGAAGAGAATTAACAAACAATTTCTTAACAAGGTTACAGTTTGTTACTTATTACCATATATACAATATATATGTCTTTATTTTGAAAAAAATCAATATATAATATAATATAATATAATAATAATAATAATAATAATATGTATATGCAGTGAGGCAAAAGAGCAGCGACCACCTCTTTGGTCCATTGTGCCTTTTTAGCAAATCATAACAGCCATTTTTTAATGGGTAAACAAGGTTTGCAACGGAACAAAACAATGGTAAATCTGTCAATAAATGTCTGCAGTGAGGAACTTTATGAAGTGAAGAATAGAAACTTAAGATCTACAATGCTTGTGTTTCATGCTTAAAAACATGCTTAAACTAGCCCAAAGTTCGGCAACCAAAATGTTAAGAAGAGCCATTTTGTCCTTTCAACAAAAATCAAACCGCCTTGAGAGCCATCATGTCCATTTTATCATCTTGGCTGTAAATCTGTCTCAGTATGTGCTAATCTACTAGTGTGGGCTAAAAAATCTAAACGAAAATGCAGTCTTACTTTGCTCTGCTTTGAGCTTTAGCTCAGCTATAGCTGCTTTTCTCGCATCTCTGTCAGGAAACTTTTCCGCAAAAGTAGAGTTTATTGTAAAATGCCTCTCAGTGTTCTCATTCGCCAGCTTCTTGTTTGCATTTTCCTGTTCCACCTTAAATGATTCCTGAGGCTCCAGAATGTAACTGCTGCACCATTTAAGGTGGAACGGGAAAATTCTAAAGAGAAGCTTTGTGACTTTTTTTGTCATGTTTGACAGTTTCTCGTTGCAGATTAAACGTATCAGGAAATCAGCTGGAGTGATTATAAACGCAAATAAGTCCATTCATCTCCAAATTATCGATATTCATCTTAAATCTTTCTCTTTGCTGTTTCGTTACCTACTAGCTAGACAAGATTGTTATCTGCGTTACTGTGTGACCAGCAGTCTGCCAATCTCCATGGTTAAAGAGTGAATTAGCAGTTATGCATTAACTCTTGCATTGAATACCCTTTATTGTTAAAACTGCATTAGAGCGATTAGTAGAGCCAAAAATAATTGTTTTGTAAAAGAAAGCCAAAATAATCACTTATTTTCTCACATTTCACATACTTTCTGGACTCATGAACAAGTTTTTAATTTAATTGGTGAAAATCTTGATGTAATAAGTTAGTTTGAACCTGAAATTGGCCACCTCACCAGCACAAAGTGCCAGCAGACTGTCAATAATTAGCCTATCTTAGTAAATCTGCCCCAAAGAGTCAGTTTCCTGGACAGGGATTAAGTCTAGTCCTGGACACATTTTCTTTTGAATGGAGAATCTCTTCTCAGAATGCTGTATGGTCCAGGACTAGACTTAATCCTGTATGGGAAACTGACCCCAAGTGATTTCACTAAGCCATTGGCAACTTAACATATTTTAGATAAATAAGGTTAAGTTTATTGAGTTTAATTTACTTATTAGGCTGTATTAACTACAAAAGTACAAATATCAGATATTGAAGGGCTCGGATCGTGAGGGGGTAGGTAACAACCATTCCTAATATAAAGTCCTGTCATTAAAATGACCATTGTGTTCTTTTTTCCTCTTTTAGCAAGATGTCTGATTAAATGAAGATTGGACAGTGAAGTGGCAGGGGTGCCTTTTCTTCACAGAAGGAGGCACCGACCTGAAGGACGAAGATGAATTTGAGCTGTAAATTTTGTTTCAGGTGGGGTTGGGCACATTGGGGCTGTACTGGGGTGGGGTTAGCATAAGTGGGAGGGACTACAAAGACAGTGGGTGGGGGGTTGGATAGGGGGTGGAGCTATCTAAGGGTGCGACAGGGACAGGGAAAGGGACAGGGACTGTATAATTGAAAAGTGGTCTTCGCTTTTTGTTGGGGTGGGCTAAATGTAAATCAGACATTATTTTGATAACAGGTCAAGTCAATCAAGCCAGTCTTTGTCTATTGTTGATGACTGTGCAGACTAGCTGTGGAGAAAAAGGCATTGGCAGCACCATCCAACAGCAGGCCTCAGGCCAAATTCCTTATCAGCCCCTAGAGTCCAAGGCTGTTTGATAAAACAGGGCCAGTGGACTGCCCTCCTGCCCATGCACTTCTGCACAGACTTAGCCTGCAGTAGTTCTTATTGTCCTTTCCAGCACTGTTCTTCCAAGCGTAGGTTCGCACCTGTGGCCATCTCAAAGACACTGAGTGCCAGGGAAGCGTAAACTGACCTGGCCATGACCTGTACAAATAGCCTGTTGCTACTGAAATACTTTGTCACTCTTTTTGTTTTCTTCACACTGTATGTATTTGCGTTTTATACCTGAATTAGCTGTTATTTGTTTCCTAAGCCACAACGAGTGAATCTAGACCTTAAATCAATGAGCTAAAACCAAAAGCTTGAAGGTGACTTGGAGCGAAAGATCAGAGCGAATCCCAAGGGCAGTAGCTTTGTTCTCTTGAAACCCTGTGAACTTCAGCAGAACTTTAAACTCAATCTTCTCATTTCCTCCCTACTGTTCTGGATTCCTCAGCACGGCCTGGTCGTGTTCAAAGAGTCCGCCAATATTAAAAGGTTGTGGAGATAAATACAGAGCACAGTCCTCTCAATTAAAGCTGGGTGAAAAGGCTTTGCCTGCTGTTTTGCTTAGTGACGTGAGACTGCATAGTTAATGTACACAGATTGCTCAGTGTCTGAAGTTCTTGAGGTTTGCACTGGAGCTTAGCTAATGTAGCTAAGAAGTAATGGAAGCTTATGTAGGCTAACGTTGTGCAAACTGGGTAAAACTCACCTGTTCTATGACTGCTCAACCACATTTGGGGCTACGGCTTGATTACAATCCAAAGACAAACCTCGAAACTACAATTCACTTCCTTTTGGTTGTTGTTTAACAAAGCTAACAAACAAAGCTTCAGTGCTCATTTTTCAGAAGATATTTCTTGCTGCTTAACTATGTCCAGTTTTGGAGCAGCACAGCATTGCCAGCAGAGTAGCACTGGCTGGGGAAGCAGGGAGTTAGGTGTCTTGCCAAAGGGCACAACCAGGAATACCCAGTCAGTCCTGGGATTTGAACCCACAACCTTCTGGTTGCTGTCTCACCAGTTCTATCACTAGGTACGTACGATCACACTGAAATTGCCGCTGACCATAAGTATCAAATGGAAAGACCCTGACTGTAGAGGGTTTCTAACCCTTGCATTGTAAATTTACTGGCCACAGCTATAAGACCTGAGAGGATTTCTGAATTGGGATTGGAACCAACAACGTTCTTGAGAACAAACACTTATGCAGGCTGTGCCCAAATCATTTTTCAAGGAATATTCCAGCATTTTTCAGCCTAATCTCTATCAGTCCCATCTGTCATGCATGGTCAGTTGCCAATAAAGCTTGAAATATTGGTCTGAACCTGACAGGCCAAACTGCCCGTGTCAAGTGTGGTTGGATTTGGGCGTCATTTCTCAATTATGTGTCAGGGTCAGGTGTGAATTTCACATTCGGGTTCTCACAGCCCACCTCCCACTTTTAAGAGGTTTTATCTGCAGTTCCTCCTGCTTTAGTTTTACTCCTTTATTTATTCTTTACTATTTCCTCTACCTCAAATCGTTTTTTAATCTTGCGAAGTCACCCACTCAGTCCATGAAGACCACACTTGTGAGAAAAACAGGACACTGAATTTAATTCATCCAAAAGGACGTTTAATTTGACCAAAAATATTTTTATTTGCTTACTATGTTTTATGGAATGCTCTGTGCAGAGCAATGGAGGTTTTAACAAATGAAGGCTAACGTCTCGCTATTTCAGCATTGCACAGCGTGAGAGCAGCGCATAATGGAAGGTCTGTCCAGACTAAAGATGTTTGGGATGCTGTTAAAAAAAAATAATTTGTTAAAGCAGAATTTAGAATTTGAACATCTTATATTTTTTTGGTCCACAATCTAATGACAGCTGTTATTCCTGCTACATTGTAACCAGCATTATCCCGGTTTTTTAGATTTTGGATTTTAGATGTTGGGCCGGCTTGGGTTTATGGAAAGAATTTTGTTATACTCGGATCAGTTTTGCACTCAAAACAAAAGTTTGGGTCAAGTTTGGACAGCACTTTGTCGGGCTCGGATCTGTAAACTTTGTGTCGGTCCAGGTCAGAAAGAAAGTTCTCAATCTGTATTCGAGTCTAAGCCAAAATTTCCAGCCCGATTCAAGCTCTAATTACCATTGACAATAACTTGCTTCTTACTTATAATATAATAAATAATAATACTTATAAAAGAACCAGTTGCTGAATTCATGATGTATCTGTGTAGTTTGTTCTTGCAGAAATGGGACTAAGAAGTTGTGGTCATTTGTTACCAGCGTAGTGGAGTGGGCGGAGTTTTGAATTTTCCCTAAATAGTCATGTATTTACAGCATTTATTCCTTAAATTCTACAACTGCCCAGTACCCTCTGATTGCGTTTCGAGTCAGCAGGTACAGAGAAACAGTCAAAATGATTGTCTGTGATAATGATACAGATGCAGGACACTGAGATTAGGCTGGAATATTCTGGGAACGACTTCTGCTGTTTCTCCTCCCTCCTCACTCACCCTCCTCAGGCCTCCTTTATTTGTATTTAGGGGAAATTTAAATGTATTTCATCTCAGTTTGGTGGCCCTGTATGTATCTGTTTGTACACTAAAATCTCAACGCTGCCCTAATGAAAGCCACAAGGGTAAACAGTGACCGGAACGAGCCTGGTCAGCCAGAGCAGAGTGGGAAATGTTAGGATCAGGGCCAGAAATGACCAGAACAGGCTTTACTGTAAGCACAGACAGAGCTGCACAGTCAAGAGCAGCTTTTAATATTGTATTTATCTCGACGTATCATTTATTACCACTTCTGTTTCGCTTTTATTTCTCTAATATATATGTAATAAGAGTAAGAAAGGTATGGGGTGTAAAAATATTGAACTGCTTTTTATGATGTCATTTTATTTACCATTTAATTCTGTGTTGTTGTTGCATTTTGTTTAAGTTTTTTTGCAAGAGTGCAAGAGCTTTTCTCTTTACAGTCCAGTAAGGTCCAGGTGGGCAGAACGCTAGAGCCACTATGTTGTTTGTTGTTGAGAGAAAGCGATACTGGGCTTTACTGAAAAGGTGGAGTTTTAAAGGGAAAGTTTGCTGTTTTTTTTATAGTGCATAATTAAATAGTTAAAACATAAACAAAGTCATTCTCAGTGGTATGAGGTGAAAACTGCCTTTCTGTAGAAACCGATTCTCGATTGCTCACAGTGGCAGTGATAGGAACCAGACGTCTAGAGAGCTTAAGCTACATCGCAGAACGCTATTACACAAAATGGTACTGAATATGCTGTGTGAGATGGTGTTTTGCAATAGTTTTCAGATAGAATTTTGGCCTAAAATGTATTTTTAAAGTACATTCATGGTGGAGAGGTAACTAGGGTTGTGTGCAAAAGTTTTGGCACCCCTCAAATGACACGTTTTGTTGACTTAAATGAGAATTAGTGACCAGATCTTCTGTGCAGAACACACTTCTGCACATTTTAATGCACAGTTACAGTTTATTTGCTGATTTGAACACATTGGGGAAAAAAATACAACAGAAAAAATGCCCTATTGAAGTTTGTTCCCTGTAAAGGATGTGTCATCTTCAAACTTTGCATACGACTGCACATGCAGGGTATTCCCCAGATAGTCTCAAAACATTTTTTTTTGTCATTTTAGGGTTTGTCATTATTTTACCCTCATTAACATTACATATAAAAGCTCAAAAGCTCTGTAAAATTGATTCATTTGCATTATATTATACTATACCCCTGGTTACCATTATCACCACTGTAAAGAAATCAGTTGGTGGATTTCTGTAGAGTGAAGTATTTCACATCAAACCTCTCTGAATGACACTTTACATCGACTTGTGCAGAAAATAGGCATACATGTGGAACGATCGGTGGAATTCCCTTTCAAATGTAGCCCATAAAGAGATGAGAGATGAGATCATATTTGAATGTTATTCAGCCTTTTTCTTAAGTGAAAGTGAAAAGATTGCACTGCTCTTGCAGATAATTTTGCCCTTATTCAGAATCTTTTTCTTAAATATAAAAATGGAATTTCACTTTATAACATGAAGTGCTTAGACAGTCACATAATTCGAAATTTTACATATATTGGCTGCATTTAAGATGCTTTCACTTGCTATGATCTCATTTTTCGCAGCGCTCAGTGAAGCCTGTATTCTTTTTCTCAGCATGTAACAGAGTCGCAGTGCTTGGAAGTCAGTTCAGCTCAGCTAGCAAGGACAAGACTGCTTTCTCAACCTTTTGGATTAGCTTCAAATGCAATTAGCTGCACACATACACATTCTGTGCTTCTTTGTATGAAGACTTGAAAAAGACAACATAGTGATTCTAGACGCTCTAACCAATGTCACATGCAGAGTTAACAGTAATTGGATAAGGCTGTGGAGGGAGGCGTGGCTGTAACATATAGGGGTGGGGTGGGTGGGGCTTTGCTTTGAATAGAATCATGCATGGCGTTATCCGGTGGTTATTATGTACAGTTCTGTGCAAAAGACAGAGAGCACCTTCATTTGCTTAATTACAGTCATAACAGCCATGAAGTAAGTCAGAACATGTATGTTTAACCAAAAATTACATAGACGCTTAAACAAATAAATGTAGTGTCTAAATTGTAAGTCTACTCTTTACCTTTATTGCAATTTCCACACCTCCAAAGTTCAGTCTTAGAAGTTGGTTGCATTTTCT